GGGGGGGGGGGGGGGGGGGGGGGGGGGGGGGGGGGGGGTGTACTTGTTCCGAAATCTGAAAATACCGCGGAAATCGTCGTTTCGAGGCGCATCTTCGTATTAGAGTTTTTTTTTTTTTCGTCCTTCGCTCGATATGTTCAAATATTCAAGAAATCTTGCTTACTTTCTGGAGGGCGTTTTTTTTTTTGCACAAAATCTGAGACTGTATTTGGACAGCTCTCGTGATTTGCCACCAACGATTTTTTCCGATTTCCAACTGGACAAAAAATAACGAAGTTATGGGCAAGAGACCCGATTTTGGAGGGTATTTTGCTTAGTTTCTTGGGGACAATCTAACCATACGATTAAAAAAAAAACTGCGGCAATCGATCCCTTTCGTGATTTGCCACCGACTTTTTTTTTCCGATTTTCAAAAAAAACTCGGGTTTCGGAGATATTTCGGGTGGTTTCACACGCCCTCGGGGAATTTTTTCCCGCCACACACACACCAGAGGCACACACACACACACACCCTTTACGCACGCTACGAAAGGCGCACACGCGCTCCGGGCACACGGGTCGCCCAAGAAAGGGAAAGCGCAAGCGGGCAAGGAACGCCGACGACACGATTCGGAAGGCCCCTTCCCCCCCTGCGGACCCTGCTGTGGACAGTGTACATATGATTTATGTGTCGCGGTGTGTTGTACTGTTGGTTTCTCGCGATTAGGCGCGGTAGAGGCGTTCGTCATGGTGACCAACTCAACGCTTTGGCTGTCTCTCTTGGTGTCGGACTTGGTTAGAGAGAACGGATGTGCTGATTGCTGCATGCTTTGGATTACAGCAGCTTCGCCAGGCAAGGGTTGGGTAGAGAGTTACGGCGGTGTTGTATGTAAAGTGTAAATAGATGCAGATATGGATTGACAACGGTTTAACTGATGTTATGAAGGCAAATACGTGCAACAGAGAGGGGTTTGGGGGGGGTCGTGGTGTACTTTGGGGGCTCCGTGGGTTCATGAGGGGGGGGGGGGTTCCGTGGGTCACTTTGGTCAAATATGTCGCATTTCACCCAATCACCAAAAACTCATCGGATATGGGCGAAGCTCGACGCCGCGGTCACGGCCAAAGTTGTTTCACTTTCCAAATCGTTTTTTTTCGAAAGTTATCGCGAAAAACAAGATTGATTGTGACTATTTGCCCGAACGGACCATATGTGTCGTCAAGAATCCTTCACTAAACATCTATACACTAGAGGTTGTGCTATTATTCCCCCGGAGAAAAAAAAAAAAGAGTATCGGGGAAGCAGCAAGACTTCCTAAAACGCGGGCGCGTTCTGTACCTTTCAATTTTCGAGGGCAGCTTTCCCAGCCTCCTCCGTCTGTCCCGGGAGCGTTTGGAGCCACGGCACCGGAAACATCGATCGTCCACTCGCCATCCCATCGCCACAGGTCGCTCGGAAGCCGAACCTAAGGTGGGGGAATGAGAGCGTCATACATACTAGCCTGGAAACGGTTCATCTCTGCATGGATGGAACAAGACGTGTATTGTGCGACATCGCATGGTGGACGTATCCTGGAGACCATTACACATCGCCCGTACCGGTGGCGTGATTCCGGCTGGAGCTTCCAGAAAATGCAACACACGGTATCAAGCAGAACAATATGGCACGTCACGCTGAGAATGACATATGTTTCGTTCTTCAGCCGGTTTGCGGTCGATACAAAAACAACAGCTTGCTCGGCTCGGATGCTTGTTTACCTGTGTGCAGGGCGACCGCGGGTTCCCTTGCGCCGTGATCCACCGGGTGTCGTACGAATCCATCCCCTCCTCGCCCCTGCGCGCCAGCCTCAGCTCGAAAACCTCCTCGGTCAAGCCGTGCTGGTCGGACTGAACCGCCGACAAATAGACGTCCACCGAGGATTGCCTAGGAGGGGAAGGGCTGTACCTGGTGGGGGAGGAGACCGGGGGGGGGAGAGGGGGGGTGTACTCTTAGTCGTGTATGCCGTAGTCGTTAGACCATTGACCTCGCATCCCTACAAAGCCGGGACGGAGCACGCCGGGTTCTCACCGGACCAGGCTCTCACATCACCAAGCGCGAAGCGCCGTGAGATATTCGGCGAGTCGCATGAAGGGTGCGCTGCATCCTGCTAAGGGTGTTCGGCATCTTGTGCTTACTTCCTTGCGTACGGATGACAGCTGCGTATGAATTAATTTATTTTCTGGTGCTTTCACTTCCAGAGACAGTTGTAAGCACTGTGTAACTGCCTCGAGGGTGCTTGACCATTTTAACACAACTTGGTGCGATCATCCCCCTTGTGCGGAGCGAGGGTTCTCCACCACGCACAATATGATCTACTCGAGCACCACTATGGTTACCGCCAAAAAAAAAAACGGAGGTAAAAAAAAAAAA